CTGTGAAATGATAGCAGAGTGTGTTTTCACATTCCCCAGGTACGTGGATTGAGCCTGTTTTGAATGGTTAATTGGTTAAAGAGCTTGCCTGTTTTTCCTGGTTTGCAGTTACATTGAATCTACTTTCTTAATAAAGTTCATCTTGATTAGGAGAAATACATTGAGGTGGAAAGGCACAGTAAATCTAATGTTGACCACCTAACCTGCAAAGACAGAGAGTGTGCTTACTTGCCAAACTAACTGAAAAGACCATATTTATGCTTTTGCTTTTGGAGGAAAACCAGTATTATTTCTCCTCTCAGGGAATGAGGGAGACCATATCAAGAAAAAGTAACATCAGCAACCCCAAAAGATACCGGTTTAAGTTAGAATTATTGACTAGTGACCTGAGGAGGTCTAACACTATCTGCTCCTATCCCTCTACACAAAGAGTAAAGTGAGTTGCATTCCTTCAACTCTAATGAAATAGATGTTTTGAATCTAAGCCTGAGGTCTAACCTAATGTAAGGCTGTAAATCCAATCGCATAAAGTTGGAATTCAATGCCACCACAATGAATGAGTTCACTTGTTAGTAACATTTGTCTGTTTATATGCCATCAGTTTTCTGTTGCAGTGCATATGGCTCTTTTTCTCCCCATGTCATCCTCATAAGATTCCTGTGAGGCTGAGAAAGAGTGAAAGAATGAGTGGCCCAAGGTCATTCAGTGGGGGCTTTATCATACAAGGCTCTTCTCCCACTAAAATAGCATTGTTTTCAAAAAGGCTATGCAATCGCTATGCTCTCATCACATTTTAGGGAACCTTTCTGGGATCACAGGCTTCATTTGCACTAAAAGCTTGTCACACACAGCATTTGGGACTGGCCAGTATCTCCTCTAAGACATTATCCTTTTCCCAGTTTGGCACACAAACACCCACCCACCTAGAGATGCCCCTCCACAGGAAATATAAATCAAAACAGTCTTATGTTTTAAAAGGCCTTTTTTCCTTGTGAGGGGCTTCCTGATCAGGATAGATCAGACTTCTAGCTTCAGACTTATCTAATCACTGGTGGGTGAAAGCCAGCAGTTAATGTATCACAATATTGGCTTCCTTCTGCCAGCGATAGGTTAAGCCTGAAGCTAGAAGAAAACATCACAAAAAAAAAAAAAAAAAAAAGGCCGGGGCTTAATACAATAAATGCTTTTTAAAATGTAAGACCTTTGTGAGTATGAGAGAGAGAGAGAAGGAGACTCCAGAGCAGGACTACAAGATATGATGGGGGCCAGTGAGCAAACTTTTGGCTTCTCTGATAAGCCTCAGTTGAGGGAGCCACTGTCATTTGCTAATATATTTTTTTTCTATAGTGATTTTTTAAAAAGTTTCTCAGGGGGGATGCAGACAGGCAGCCATGGGCCGCCCTGGGAAGTGGCGGATGGGGGCCCAGGTTGCCCCCTGCCTCGGCCCTGATCCTTCCTTTTGCCGCCTGGGAAAGGAACGCTAAAATAGCACTCCTTCCACAAGCCACGAAAGGGGTGCCCAAAGAGCCGCCATGTAGCTCTTTTCCGTCCTTTCTGGCTCAGCATGTCTGGACGCTGAGCTGGAATGATGTCATTGGAGAGCCCGTCGTGTGGAAGGGCGGGCGCTCCGATGATGTCCTCAGGAAGGGGATGGGGCGCCCAGTGTCCAGCTGCCTCTCCCGTTCCTTGGCTTGAAGACGGTGCAAAGCGCCGTCTGCAAAGCCCCTCAGTTACTTTACCAATTGAAAGGAAATCAAATTGAAATTTCCACCCATTCTCCCCGATGACTGGTAAGCAAAGGGCACCTAAGCCACCTCATAAGCATCCAAAGCACCCAAAATCAGCATTAAAGCAGAATTGAACTATGTCATTGGAAATGGTAGTAGAACAGTACTGGGAAAGGAGATCATTAACATATTTTTGCATTAAGGAAAAAAAAACACTTTCCAAGTACCTTCAGAAGAGAGATGTTGTTATGTGATGAGCCCCAGCCAAAGGCACAATTCTTAGTGGTGTTGCAATATACCTGTTTCATGTGATAAAAGTCCTGAGATTCATAAGTCAGTGTGGATGCAAGTCTGGATCTCCTAGATCAGTGATAGGCAACCTTTTTAAGCCGGTTAAAAAGTCGAAGTCACCTCTTTCACTGGGCCGAGGGGGGGAGATGGTGGCTTGTGCGCGCACCCCCCCTGCTGTGCGCAACCCCCTGCATGCGCGCCGCTGCCTCCACGCATATCGCCACCGCCATTTTGTTCTCCAAAATGGTGGCTGCCACTCGTGGTTGCCATTTTGTTTTCCAAAATGCCGACCGCGGCTTGTTTGCGCATGTGCAGTATTCCTGCGCATGCGCAAACGCGTTGTGGCCACCATTTTGGAAAACAAAATGGCGGCCGCGGCAGCAGGGGTCCACCTGGGCTGGTAAGTATGGGGACCTGGGCCGGAACCGGCCCGCAGGCCATAGGTTGCCGGCCCCTGTCCTAGATTCTAGTTTGGTGTGGCTTGGATGGATTCATATATATATATATGTTTATTTTTGATGACTGCAATAACAACTTGAATGTCTTGACACACTATCACAGATAAAATGTACACATGTCTTCTAGCATGACAGTCCTCTGTGCTACCTGAAATTTAATCGGGTCCTTCCTGCCCTTTCCTGTGATGAGAAGCTGTTTTGTAAGTAGAATAACCCAATTAGATTATGGCTATTTATTCATTTCCACTTGTACGTACATAGATAGATGATCCAGTCTTTGACATGCAGCAGCCAAATTTGCAAAAGGTATTCACTTGTGAAGGGAAGAGGGGAGAGAAGTCTAGCTGTGGTGCTACCTGCCATCCGGATCACAATGGCAAGTCTTAAATGTTGCATTCATCAACTAATGAAAATGTTTATATAAACCATTCCTTATTTTAGATAAAGATGTCTGCTTCTGCTTTGGTCCTTGGGAAAGTTATTTAGCTTGGTCAGCTTGCTTGTGAAATTGAAATATTTTCACTTTCAAAAATATGTTTATCTGGAAGAAATGTCTTGGCACATGTGCTTCAGAAGCTGTTGGCCTGAACAATAATCCAGCAGTGTTCTACTTACAGCCTTGTGATATAACTGAAGAGAGAACCAAACTTTGAATTCATCTCCCAGTTTTACAGTGCTAAATAAGGTATCTTCTGCATTCCTCAACAAAATGAGAATTGTACAAGTTTTTCAAGTGATTTTAACAGGAATTTTCCTTGATGATGGGATAAAGCATGTTCAAGGAGAAAAATTAAATGAAAAGGCATCTTTATGTGATAGCCAAACACTCCAGATAAAGTCTAAATCATTGTGTTTCCTAATGCCTGCCTTCAGCCTTGCAGATACTTGGTTGAAAAAGAGCTCATTATGTTCACAGAAGGCACTATGATCCCATGGAGGCAGAGCTAGAAATTTAATCTGCTGCAGCTTCCAGAATCCCCACTGGCCATACTGGTCTGGGGATATTTGGCAGTTGTAGTCCAAAAAAGAAGCACCTTTTCTGTTCTCTGCATGGAGGCATCCACTGGAAAAAGGGGACAATTTTTAACTGTGTTCCCCTTACAGCCATCACTATACAGCATACAGACCCTCTCTATCACATACCTTTTCTTGTCTGACTTCAGAAGCTAAGCAGGGTCAGAACCACCGTTCTGATTTCAGAAGCTATGCAGGACTAAAACCCGAGAGATTAACAGTGAATAGCGGATGGAGCTAGGAAAGGATCCTGTCTGACACTGGAAGTGATGGAGCTTGTGCTGGGATCAAACTCAGTATAAGGCAACTTCTTCTTTCAGTGAAAATTCATTCTCTCTCTTCAGAGAGAGTGTTCCTGAAAAATGTTGGCTCACCAGAAGTCTCGTTCCAATCTGGTGAGCCCCAAGAACTGAAGCACTGAATATAATACAGGGTTGGCTGGTTTAAAGCAGGTTTGTTTAAACCAAATTCCCCTTAAAAAAACACACCCCACAAAACTACTCCTTGTTTTTAAAACTGATTTTATTCATTATGTTTTTAAAAATCTGTCTGTTATTATCATTTTCTAACCTTCTTGCAGGAACACCAATGACTATTTGAATTTAAACATTTTAACTTTAACAGTTTATTGGCTATTGTTCATTGTTAAACGAGTGTCAGTTGCTTCTTTTTCATCACTTTATTTTAAAATGCAAGAAGTGCAATTCAGAAACAATTCTTCAATTAACATAAGTTCAACCAAAACAACTTGATTTAAAAGAGCACTTTTAAAAGAAAAATTATTTAAGCTAGTACTGAAGCAGACGGCCTGGAAGGAGCGGCCTCTGGGACCACAGCAATTGTGCCAGGACTGCAGCAACTGGATGGCCCACTTCTAAAGTGGGCTTCCGTTGTGGTCCCAAATGGGCTGCCAGCAGGAGAGGATTACATTAATCTCTTTTGCCAGTGGCTTTGGGCTTCCTTAGGCGGCCTTAGTGTGGCTTCTGGCCACTTATCTAAACATGCATAATCTAAACACCATGTCCCTGAAGCAGCTGGAAGCAGCTCTATTTGGCCTCTCTGTTTTGGGCCCTAGTGACCAGTATGATGTAGAAATGTGAGTGCTGGACTACAACTCTGAAGACCAGAGTTTGATTCCCAGCTCAACCATGAAACCCACTGGGTGACCTTGGGCAATTCACATGCTCTCAGCTTAAGTAATGGCAAACTTCCATTGAATAAATCTTGCCCACAAAACCCCATGATAGATTCACCTTAGGGTCACCATAAATCAGAAATGACTTGAAGCCACACAACAGCATTGGCCATAATATCTGAAGTGCATTTTGCTACTCAGTTTTCTGATTTAGTCCTATATTGATGTCTGTTGTTGTGTGCCTTCAAATCATTTCCAAGTTATGATGACCCTAAGGCGAACCTATCATGGGGCTTTCTTGGCAAAGTTTGTTCAGAGGAGGTTTGCCATTGCCTTCCCCTGAGGCTGAGAGCATGTGACTTGCCCAAGGTTTTATAGCTGAGCTGGGAATTGAACCATGGTCTTCAGAATCAAGGTCCAACACTCAAACCATTACACCACACTGGCTCCAATTGATGTAGTCCCAGGTTTGGTCTTGGGAGTGTTGTTGTTGTTGTTGTTGTTGTTGTTGTTGTTGTTGTTGTTGTTATTAATGTGTAAGATATCGATGTAGTCCTACACTTTAATGCAACCCCCCCAAAACCCCAAAGTTGGTTTAAAAAAAATTGAAAAAATGTTGTAAACAACCCCCACTTTTTCCCAAAACAATTTTCCCCCAACTCTGATCTCAGACACTTTAAAAATCATGATTTTGTTTCTATAATTTGCCCAGGACTGTAATTTGCCTAGTGTCAACCTGTATGCTTCTCAGTCTGCTTGTGTGACTGACTGATTGTATTTATTTACTGTATTATATCCCAGAGCAGCTTGACAGTTCCTTACTCTCAGGCTTTCAGTAAATAAGACAAGACACACAAGTAAAAGGGGACACCAAGGGGGCCAGCATGGTGTGGTTTGAGTGTTGGACTATGACTCTAAAGACCAGAGTTCGATTCTCAGCTTGGCCTTGAAACCCATTGGGTGAGCATTGGGTGAGTTCGGGCAAATCACACTCTCTCAGGGTCAGGGGAAAGCAATGGCAAACCTTCCCTGGACAAATCTTGGCAAGAAAACCACATGAAACATTTGCCCTACAGTCACCATAAGTTGGAAATGACTTAAAGGCAAACAACAGCAGCAAGAAGTGTGGAAAGGGGTTACGTTCATTAGATCCTGGTTGTGTTTGTCTCTCTCAGAGACAAGAGCAACGCTAGTTGGAGTATGGGGACAGGGGGGCTTTCACCACCCAGTGAGCCCTAGGCACTTCAAACTGAAATTGTTACTTAACAGTAAGCAGTTAATCTAGAAAAATAGGGCAGTGAATACCAAGCCAATAGATAGGTCCTCAATAGCTAGATTTCCCCTTTCAGGCAGATGGTGGAGACTGTTGCCTTTATGAACATATAACTAGTGGTTGATTCAGCAGATGAGGCAGCTTTCACCCAAGGTCTTAAATTAGATAACTGTTACCATCAAGTGTGGATTTGCTATCTGTTTATCATTAGATTAGGCTGATTTATATCTGTGGAACTCACATTAGAAGTTTTGACACAGTTTTATTCCAAAGATAGTTCAAACATGCTTCTCATCACTCCCAATTGTTCCCAAATATATAGATTTGATAAATATACCCACCTTTTAAAGGAAAACATGTACTGCTTTGTACCTTGCCCCCAAGGAGGAGTTTGTAGGTTGACAATGGTTCAAAACACACTGCAGAAATAATCCAGTTTGAGACTGCTTTTAACTGCCCTCACTCAGTGCTAGGGAACTATGGGAACTGTAGTTTTGTGAAACATTTAACCCAGGGGTCAGCAAGTTCCCCTTACCTGGGCCGGGCCGGGGATCCCCTGGTTGTTTGCGGGCTGCCCCCCGCTGCCGCTGTGCCCACCACCGCATGCATCGTGGCTGCCATTTTTCCCCCCAAAATGGCGGCTGTGACTCGTTTGCGCAAGCACAGGAGTACTAAGCATGCGCAAACGAGTCGTGGCTGCCATTTTGGAAAACAAAATGGCGGCCGTGACGTGTGCGGCGGTGACACATCGGCAGCGTGTGGCGGGGGGGCGGTCCAAAGGCCTTTGGGGGGGCGGACCCGGCCCATGGGCCATAGGTTGCCAACCCCTGATTTAACCTCTGTCAAAGAGCTTTGGATCCACAATAAACTACAGTTCCCAGAATTCCCTAGCATTGAGCCAGGACAGTTAAGGCAGTCTCAAACTGGATTATTTCTGCAGTGTGTTTTGGATCAATTTTCTCTGCATAAGTGTTGACTGACAACCAGGCTGTTCTTTTGTCAAGTCTGATTGCTAGCATGAGTGTAAATCAGTAAATAGCCATACAGTTAACTACTCTGCATTGGATGTCATCTGATTGCATATGTGAACTGACTACACTTGTCCTTCCACATTTGCAGCTTTGAGTTTTGCAGATTTGATTATTCACTGATTTTATTAATATGTTCTCTCTAGCAATATCTAGGTCTTCCAGCATAACTCTGTGGTCAACTTCAACCAAAAGTCGCACTGAAGGACCTAGAAATTCTTAGAACACTCCACTAGTTATCTGTAGCTCCTACAGTGCAATTCTATGGTCAATGCCTGGCAGATGTTGACCACAGAGTTGCACTGGAGGACTTAGAAATTCCTAGAGAGGTTTCTCTCAGGTAGAAACATAGTGTTTTTTGTTATTTTCCCACATTCACGGGGGTCCTATGCCCCTAACCCCAGCAAATGTGGGGGGATTAATGTATTGAAAAATATCAAGTCTGGCACATGAAGTGTTCTGAGTGATGGCTTATTTTGAATAATGTGATAACAGATGTGAGTCATGATCATATAATACTCATGTGCCAGTCAAGTGACAAGCTCCAATGGATCAGTCTGGATTTAGATGTACACTGGAGTGAGCAAAGTGTAACCCACAGGCTGTATACAACCCCCCCCCCCCCGCCAGATATTTTTGTGGCTTCCAGGGTCAAATATTCTTTTCTTTTTTTTTCTTTTTTGGGAAATATGTTTTGCTTCTGAATGCTTTCTAATGCGCTCTAGTGGATATGGCAGGGATTCCACCATGTTTGATGTCCCCTGGGCCCTCCAGGAGATGAAAATCAATGTTTGCATTTTTTTTCCAGTTTCCCTCCCTGATGTTTTTAAATCCCCAAATATCCATTAGAAGGTGAGGGGCACATTTCTACCTCTTCAGGCCAATTTGGCCCCAGACAGGCCTCTTTGAAACAGGGAGTGAACAGAAAATTACTTCTCACTTGTTATTAGAATTCTTCTCCTGGACCAGAAACGGTCCCCAACCATGATGAAAATCCCTTCATACCCCTAGAGGGCATTTGGGAACTTTTTTTTTGGAGAAACAAGTTTAGTGGAGAGACACACATAATACCATCTCTCAAAGTAAAATGCCTAGAAAAACATATACAAAATTCCTTAGCATGATTTACATTGGCATAAGATGATGTTGGTGGCAGGCACACTTTTTTTGAAGATGGGGTGCCACCACTGAAAAATTCCTCTTCTTTATTGTGCAGACACTTTGAGAAGAGCTGCTCCTCATTGTCGTGGCCTTGCTGAAGGTTGGGAGGGGGCTGGAAACATTATCTTCCTTGACCCCCGGTTAGCAGATTGAACAGGCCTTCCCTGCTTGATGCAGCTGCTAACTTTAAGATGGGCTGGAGGGGCATTTGTGATCATGGCAATAGTGTCATGATCCTCACTACACAGTACCGCTGAATAATTCTAGGTTACAAATCTGTAACTGCAAAATAAAATGCCAGTCCTGGTTTCTTATGCTTGAGTGGGTTGTAGTATCAGAGGTCTTTTAGAACAAAATGTTATGCTACCTGTGGGTAAACACCACTCATGTCTCCCTGTCCCAGGGTATGTGCATATCACACACATTGTGTTTATCAGTGTGCACCACCTCTCAGTTTGTCATGCTGTCCTGAGCAGCCAGCAGCAGCAGCATTCAAAAAACAATGCACAATGTGGCATGGATTGTGCTTGCACCTATAGTCCTGTGCAAGAATCTTTCTCCTTCAACACAAAGAGGGCTAAAGCATGCCCTCCAACATTCACAGATGAAGACAAGGATATGTATGGCAAAGTATGGTCAAAATGACAAGCATTATTCATGAAGAAGAACAGATGAGTCAGAAGAGGATACAGCAGTTTTATTTTGGCTGAGTGTACCAGGAAGATCAAAATCCTGTCACCTTTCTCCTCTCCTATGGCTAAGTTAATTGAATGCAAACTACTTTTGCAAAGTGAACTTAGTTTGCATCACAGAAGAGAAAAGAGGGAAGTGGGAAGAAAGGAGCGAAACTGGAGCTGGAAAAGTGACATGGTGGGACATTATAAAACTGGGACATTATAAAAACAGCTGGAAAAGTGAATCATGACCATCTTTGCCAAATCAGGACAGTTGGGAGGTATGCCAAAGTGGGGAGCAAACATGCCCTCCCTGCCAATTGCCTGCATCACTGAGCTTCACATGTTCCACATGAAGATCTAGAAAGGGGGATTGGGAAGTGTGTTTGGCTGAATGGAACCAACTTGGAACCAAAAAGCACGGAGTCTCCATCTTGTCTTCTTCCATTTATTAGCCTTCACCCAACCCATTAAATTCAGTTGTTAGAATCAAGGGCACAAATCAAGGTCTGTTGGAGATTTCCTTTTTCCACTGACAAAACAAACAAACCAGCAGAAGAGCATTCTCTTCTTGCCTTTAGCATTCAGAAATAGACCTTTTGAACACCATCAGATCCACCACCACCACCATTTCTTTCACCTTACAGGCTGACATCTTTGAAGTTTTAAAGCGGAAATAACTAGGTGTCTAAATAAGATTCACTTTTTAAAAGGAAGTTCTTCATCAAAAAAGTATCCAACCGAGCATTGGCTGTGTGTTGTGATGGGGAAGAGCTGAAATTCTCTTACATTTTCAATGAGGCCGCCCACTCCTGTCTAAATACTCTGTCCCATGGCACAATGGGTCGCTGCAGGAAAGCAGAACTTTTCCTCTGGTTTGGTCTCTCCAGCTGCTAGTAATTGAAATCTGCTTTTGTAAAATTTGGAAGGAACACCCCACAAATGATACCATTGACAACAGATTGTTCTATTTCTAACATCCACTAAAATGTTTAGAGCAAAGTACCTTCTTCCTTTTTTTAGCAAATGGTGTTGAATGAAGCAGACTTACTACAATCTCAGGGGTACATTTTGAAAGCTTTTCCGTATTTAGATGGTAAGTAACATCCCAATGTCCAAGGACCCCCATATCACAGATTGGTCATTATTAAAATATGCAGTTAAAGGGATGAGAAGTTGCCTTTTATAGTATCATACTATGCAATTCATTACATCTTCCAGTCCAGGAAAAGCAATTCTTTTGGATTACAGTGCTCCAGAAAATCCCAGACAAGATGGGGAGATTTGGTTGGGTAGTTCTATAGACCAAAA